TCCTTCCTTCCTTCCTTCCTTCCTTCCTTCCTTCCTTCCTTCCTTCCTTCCTTCGCAAGCACATGTGCCGGCTGGAGCAGCGAACCCCTGAGGGCGCTGGGGCATGTGCGTGTTTTGTGTGGTCCAGTCGGGTGCCCAGTGGCCCCTGTGGCGTGAGCTCCGCTGGGGCCAGTGAAGTTGGCTCCGTGTTGGCTGCTGCTCCTGAGCCCACGGATGCTGGCCCACTGTGGCACAAGCGAGCCTCGCAGGTCGGGGCGCTTGCCGCGGGCATCCTGCCTGGCTTTCAGCACGGTGCATCCCGGGGTGCCTGCTGGCCGTTGCTGAGGGACGGGGAGCATGGGAGCCCCTCCAGCCACCGAGCCAGAGGCAGGAAATGCGCACTGCCTTTGCCCTGACTGTGCGCGGCGGGAAGGCCACCTCGCTTCGCTTTCCGGATTCGGCCCCAGTGCGCAATCTTCTGAAACACGAAACATGATTGCGACGAGTCTTTCATTCGATAAATACCTTTCATTAAAGAGAAAATAGCAGATAATGTGGTTACGTGTTTCAGCTGAGTTCACTGGCATTCCGTGCTCATCTGTAGTGCCGGCACCGCGGTCAAGACAAGCCATCGGGTCTGAGTGGGCAGGCGAAAGGGACTCCAAAGACCCCCTTCCTTTCCCGCCTGGCCCCAGCTGATCTCACAGGCCAGCGTCGAGGCCGGGGTCTTTCTGGGAGGGGGGCATCCGCTTCCTGCTCAAATTCCTTCCTCCTTGGTGGAGACCAGCAAGTCCGGCCCTTCTCCCCAGGTTTCCGCTTGCATGCAGGACTTCAGGATGGGTCGTCGTGGACATCAGCTTCCCCGCGAGGGAGGGGTGCCAGCCCTTGCGCCCCGCAATATCTGTTGGCTGCTTCCTGGCACTTCAAAGGTTTCCTTGCAGCCCCTGCTGCTGCAGGACACCAAGTCACACCACCCCACTCAGAGGGCTGCCCAGTCTCTTTCCCAATGTCCCCAGTGTGGGAGAGCCCCCACCTCTCTGGGCAGCTGGTCCCACTGCCGTGTTGCTCTGACAGAGAGGAAGCTTTTCCTGATGTCCAGCCTGAATCTGGGTTGTTGCAGCTTGACTTAAGTATTCCGTGTCCTGCACTCTGGGATCAGCAGGAAGAGACCTTGACCCTCCTCTTTGTGACAGCCTTTGAGGTCCTTATATCAAGACAGTATCTGTCCCAAACCCTGGCCTAAAGCCCAATTGAAGTGGGTCATGAGCAGAGCCAGCCGGAGCCAGGGGTCAGACTAGATGGCCCGGGAACCCCATTCTGACGCGTTCTGTTTCTGTGTTCCTGCCTCATCCAAGAGTAGCTGGAATGCTCGGCCGCCACCCGCTCAATCCCCTCGTCCAAAATGGGGTGTTTGCAACCGGCTGGTACTTCAGAACAGCCCTCAGGTCCAGGTGCGTTTTTTCAAGGAGTGGTCGTACCGGAGCCCCCTTCAGAGAGGCTGGGACCACCCGCTCTCTCGGCAGGGAGTTGACAGCCTCCGGGGCCCAAGCGTGAGCCCCTCTGCCAGGCCTCCCCCTGAGCGGGGGTGGGCGCGGGCTGCGGGAGCAAGTGGCGGCGACGCAGCGCCAAGAACCTCGCCCGCCGCCTCAGGCCACAGTAACTGAAGCGCATCCATTCGAGCCGGAGAGGATGGCACTCTGACTCCCTGCCGGTGGGGCCGGGTCATCTCCGGAGTCCAAATCGCGGTGCACCTGAACCACTTCGTCTTCCGAGGGAGAAGCGAGCTCGCCACAGAGGACCGCCGGGGGCTCGGAGGGCTCCTCTGAGGACCCGTTTCGAAAGAGAGCCCAAGCCTCTTGGGAAAGTTCAGCTGGGCAACGCTGGGACGACACAACGGCAAAATACTGACGTTTTGCCACTGGTATGAGCACGGAATGGCCCCGTCATGGGCTCGAAGCCGTGCCCAGTTGGGTCCGCCCCACAGCCCCCTCCACCCACAGCCTCGCCACCCCCCTTCCCTAAGGGTCGGGAGAGCGAGGCTGGAGGCGCGCCATGTGGAACGCTTGGCAGCAGCCGCACTCCGGGATAAGCGAGCAGGAATGGAAATGGGAATCTGGAGGGACCGAGAGCAGTGCAGGTGCAATCACCAGGCAGAGGGAGACTCGAGAAGTCGGCTGCTGGGTTTGGCATGGCGGGAGAAGTGCCTGCCGCCCTGGTTGCTCCGATGCCCACGGTCCGGCCCGTCCTGTCTGGACCCTTCCAGGCTGGGTGAGGTGCTGGTTTTGATCCCAGTTGCTGCTTTTGTAAGAAATCAGCAAAGTTTACCTTAGCAAAACACTAACCAGGAATGATTAACTTGAGAAAAGAAAGCTTCTGTATCTTCAGCTAATATTTCACGACCTTTACAATTTGCAATTCTGAGTGAAGCGTTAAGAATTGAGAGTTTCCTCTTCTGGATGAGCCTTTCTTGCCACTGTTGTCTTTAATCACCAAAATAACAGTTCAGTGTCACTATTGTTTCGAGCTGATGCGCTAAATCTTGCTTGGGATTCATTATTCTCTCAATATGTCTCTCTTAAACAAGTTAAAGCAAATTCTGCCTGCTGGGAAAGAATATTGCTCAAGTCATGCTTAACTTGCCGCACCTTCCCGAGCAGCCGGAGAAGCGACAGACGGAGCTGTAAGATTTTTCAGCCTGCCACTTAAAGCTCTTTACTGCTCCTTTGAAAATTTATTTTTATGGGAAGCGTATAGGTGGTAATGTGGCCCCAGAGGAAAGCCTCGCCCGCCTCCCACTCGCGATGCGCGAGCTGCTGAGCAGAGCCTTCCTGCCACTCGGCAAAACCCTTTTCTGAGGGATTCATCACGTAAGGCAGAAGCAGTCAAATGCCTCGGCCGACCAGTCGATCACAAGCTCAAGCAAACGGGACTGGACGGGGCACGAGTTCCTCTCCTCCGACGTGGCGCCCCCCGATGGATTGGGCTGCACCCCATTTCATCCCCACACCGAAGCTGTGGGTGGGTCCGGGTGAGAGTGGCGCGGCCGGCCTGTGGCTGCCCAGGCAGGTGCATGGGTGAGGGGCTGCGTCTGAGCCGAGGGGCTCACTGCCCCTGCCCCGGACCAATGGGGGCAGCTGCCCGGGGACGCCGGGGGCTGCGGTGGAAGCGGCAGGCAGCCTCTGCAAGGCGCCTTGCGCCCAGAAGCGCAACCCCAGTGGGGGCAGCCTCTGGGGAGAGGAGCAGGGGGGGGGGGGGGGCAAACTGTGGCTGGCGGGCTGCCTGAGCGCAGTGGGAGGGGACGGCCCGAAGCCGGTGCCCACACCCAGGTGCACTTTGCACATGTGAGAGAGCTGCTACTGCCACTCTGTACGACTCCGGTGCACCCACAACTGGAGTACTGTGCTCAGTTCTGGGCCCCTCATTACAGGAAGGCTATAGCCAGGTTGGAGTCAGTGCAGCGCAGGGCCACAAGGTTGGTGGCCGGTTTGCAGGGGATGCCGTATGAGGCGGGACTGAGGGAACGGGGTCTCTTCTGCCTGGAGGAGACTCAGAGGGGATCTGTTGGCGACATACAGGTGTGTGAGGGGGTCAGATGGAGGTGGGTAGAGACCTGTTCTCCCCTGCAGAGGAGGGAAGGACACGCTCCGATGGAGCCAAGCTCAGGGAACCCAGGTTCATTTTGGGTGCCAGGAAGCACTTCCTGACAGTTAGGATCCCAAGGGCATAGTGGGCATGTTGTGAGCGGAGCCGGCTGGTGCTGGAGGTCAGACTAGATGGCCCAGGAGACCCCTTCTGACTCGCTCTGTTTCTATGTTTCTATGTTTCTATGAATGGGCTTCCACAGGAGGTTGTTGAGGCCCCATTGGTGCGGGTGTTCAAGGATAGGCTGGACATGTATGTCATAAGTGGAGCCAGCAGGAGCCGGGGGTCAGACTAGATGGCTCAGGAGGACCCTTCTGGCTCATTTTGTTTCTATGTTTCTATGACTTGTGCCCGCACGGAAAACAGTGCTCTCGGGCCCTGCCCCTCCCAGCACCTGCGTGACCCCAGGGCCAGGCTGGCCCTCCCCCGGTGTGATGTCACACTGGCCACGCGCTGACCGGCTGGGCTCGGAAGCCCCCGTTTGTGAGGTCACGGCGGAAGGAGCCGGCAGTGCGCCGGGGCAAGGCTGAGGCGTGAAGGATGCGGTGGCTGCCGTTCCCGCTTTTGGTCCTTTCCCTGTCCTGGCCCACGCGTGCCGAAGACAACCTCTGCAAGTGAGTCCCACTGGGCCCGGGGGGCAGTGGGGAGGGGCCCACACGTGGGGGGCCCCCCAGGCGGTGGCCCCAGCGGCCACTGCCTGCCACTTGCCTCCTCGGTCACGCACTAGGACCGCTCTGGCCGGTCCTCCAGGCCTTTGTTGCCCAACGGACGGGGCGCCCTTTGGCCGGAGGCGTCTGGGAAGCAAGCCTAGGACCGCTTTCGCTTTGCTCCAGAGGCTCTAGTGCGGCAGAATGAGGCCCGCCGGGCGCGATCTTCCTCTTCCTCTCCTGTCTGGTTCGCTGCTGGTGCCTCTACCCACTTCTCCCCTTGATGGTCCGCTTCGCCTTCTTGACATCTAGCTTGGGGTGTCTGCCTGTCCGGCCAGACTGATCTGCTGGGCACCCGGGTGCCTTTCCTGCTTTCTGTCTGCCTCTGCTGGAGGCACCGGCTCCGCTCCCCTTGGCCCGTTTCCCAGGATTTCAGGATCTGGCCCTTGACTCTTGAGTCATCCACACCGTGGCCACAGAAAGGAAACAAGCGCCTACTTCACCAGTACCAAGGGAGGCACAGGCAGGATGTTTTGAAGAGAAGGCATCCCGATGAATGGGAACCGGCACGGCCCCCCCTTGGCCCGGTCTCCCCCCTGCATGAGAGGCCACGGAACCTCGGAAGCCTCCCTCCGCCGGGTCCGGTCCAGGGCCATCCAGGCCAGCCTCGTCCACTCGGGCTGGCAGCAGCTCCCCTCCAGGGCTCCGGGCAGGAGCCTTCCAGCCCTCCCAGAGAAGGGGCCAGGGACCAGGTCAGGAGGGGGCTCCTCCAGCCACCTCGGACCTGCCCTCGCTAGGGTCCGCTCCGTGAAAGAAAATGCTGCCTGTCTGGGGCAGTGCAGTGTCTGGAAAACGGGGAGAGCCACATGCCAGCACTGCCCCGTGGTGAGTTCACGAACCGCCCTTCCGTGGCTCGAGTCTCCTGCCCTCCTCACAGGGAGCCGCAGCCCCTGCCTGGCCTCCCTCCCCCTTCTCCTCCCCTCCCCCCAAACCTGGGCCCCCAACTCCGCAGAGGAACCCTCCAGCAGCCGCAGCCGCCCGGCCCCTCCTGGGGGGCCCTTTGGCAGGCCCCTGCTGGCCCAGCCTGCCCCAGCCGCTCTCCGTGCCGGAGCGTGAGCGGGGGTGAGGGAGGACGAACCCCCAGGGAACAACTTCAGGGCGGGCCCCCAAGCAGGCCCGCTCCCCTCCAGCACGCCTCCTTGTCCCACAGGCGGGGGCTTCTCCAGCGTTCGGAGACGGCGCAAGAGCGCCCACCCACGAATGCGTCACCACTGGCCGCGCCACAACCAGAGCAGTGGCCAGCAGGCTCCCTTCGGGGGCGTGAGCGTCCGTCTTCCACCGCCCTCCAGCCGGACCTGCCTCTGGCCACGTGGTTCTGTCCCCACTTTCCAAGCCCCCGGAGAGCAGCTCTCCTTGATCATTTTTGGCTTCTGCGTTCTCATTTCCGCTCCCGGCACCGTCACGCTGTCCACAGGCTCAACTGGCTTCATGCAGCCGGGCGGGGATGGCTGCCCGGTGCCTGAGGAAGGGACCCGAAGGGCAGCCCCGCCAGGGGCCTCTGCCTCGCTGGGTGGCTGGGCCAGCCCCAGGCAGGCCTTTCTGCAGCTTCCACATGCGCCCCATTGCTCAGTCACTGCGCACAAAGAGCTCCTTGGCAGGCAAACGGCAGCTTATTATTATTATTATTATTATTATTATTATTATTATTATTATTATTATTACATTTCTATGCTGCCCCTTGCCAAAGCTTAGTGCCCACCTGGGACCCTGCCTCAGTGCCCCCAATGGACGGCATGACTTCAGATACAGGAGAGGCTGCCCTGGATCTTTGGCTTTGCCACACGGGCTGCCGAAGGTGCTGGTTCAAGAAGTGTTTGATTGCGGAGTATAAGACTTTGGGGGCAAATTTAGGGTTGCTTCTTTACTAGGGGAGCTTCGTTTTTGCCTTTTGCCAAAGCTCCCACCCACCCACACCTCCCTGCCCAGTGCATCCCAGAGCTTGCAGGAGCATCAAAATGCAACCTACAAACACACGGTGCGCACCCACAATGAACTGGCACATTGAACTCTCCCTGGAGTTAGCCAGTCGTATTAAACGTTCAAAATAAACCAGGATCTGCCAGGCTAGGCCAAGTATTACTCCCCGTGCCTTCGCATTTGTAGGGAACGAGGAGAGCTTCAGCTGGGCTGAAAAGATGGCAGTTGAGCACCAGGCACACTCCTCTCGGGGTGCCGCTGTCGAGAAGGCCCTGCCTGGGGCTGTCACCGCCTCAGCCTCGCGCCCAACGAGGGCACGGCCGGGAAGAGGCACCGGGCAGATTCCGGTTGGCGGGCCAATCCAGGGGGGGGAGGAGGTCTGGCCTGGGATGGCGCCGCTCCCCAGCGCCTCCCTCGGCGGTGACCCGGCACCTCCCTCCGTCTTTGCCTTCGCAGCGGCATCTGCGGCAGGCGTCCCCTGGCACCCAGCCATGGCGGCACCATGCGCGTCATCGGCGGCACGGACGCGCTGCCGGGGACCTGGCCCTGGCTGGTCAGCATCCAGATTCCCTCACGCAAAGGGTTCCAGCACGTCTGCGGAGGGTCCCTCATCAGCTCCCGCTGGGTCGTCACTGCAGCCCACTGCTTCCTGAATAAAAAGTGAGTGGGAGGGGGCGGCTGCCGGAGCTGGCGGGGGGCAGTGACCCCCACGGCCGTCCCGGCCCCGTGCGGGCCCACGAGCCCGGCAGGCCTGACCCGCCCTCTGCGCCCGGGCTCCTTCCCCAAGAGCCCAGCCAGCGGCAGCACCCGCCTCGCTCGCTCTGCCCCCAGCAACGCCCCCGCGGGGGCACCCATGTCCCCACAGCCAAGCTCGCTTCCCCTCTGCCCCCCAGGTTCCTGGAGCACTGGAAGCTGGTGATCGGGGCCACGCAGCTCTCGCAGCCGGGCCCCGACGCGCAGGAGCGCACCATCAAGAACCTGGTGGAGCACGAGCAGTACAGCCTCCGCACACACCTGAACGACATCGCCCTGATGGAGCTGAGCCACCCGGTCAACTGCAGCGACTACATCCAGCCGGCCTGCCTGCCCAGCACCGACCTGGAGCTCTCGTCCCTGACCCACTGCTACGTCAGCGGCTGGGGAGTGACGGACACGACCAGTGAGCGCTCCCCCCACGGGCGCGGGACGGGCTGCCCGGCTCCAGCACAGCGCAGCTCCGGCCGGCCCTGGACGGAGCCCCGGGGGGGCCGCTGGGGGTCCCACCTCCCCGTCCACTCCCTCCATTCGCAGCCAGCCTCCCAGTCGCTTCCAGGGCGAGGGGAGGAAAAGGCAACCTGCGAGTGGCGAGGGGTCGGGGGCGCTTCTCCGGGGCATCCCTGAGCAGAGAGAGGCCCAGAGGCCGTACTCCGGGTCCCTTCCCTTTGGAGGGCACGACCCGGCCCGGGGGCCCCGCGAGGGCCGCTCCCCACCCAGCTCACGGGAAGGACTCGGGCCCTGGGAGGCCCCGCCTGGGCAGCGCAGCTGGATCCCTCCCGCTCCCTCCGTGGCCTGGAGTCTGCCCACGGATGCCCGGATTTGTGGAGCCGGGGCCACGTTGGGATCCGAACGGAGCCGTTCTCCTTGCAGAGCCCACCCAGACGGCCGACATCCTGCAGGAGGCCAAGGTGAACATCATCCCGCTCGAGACCTGCAACAGCACCACCTGGTACAACACCAAGATCCACTACAACAACATCTGCGCGGGGCACGAGCAAGGTGGCATCGACAGCTGCCAGGTGTGCCCCGGCCCCCCATCAGCGCTGGGCTGCCCTGGGGCAGGGCAGGGCAGGAGGGCTGGCTGGGGTGGACGAGGACACGGCCTGGACTGCCCTTCTGGGGGGACGTGCTTTGGGGCCTCCCAAGCCCTGGGCTGCGGGAGGAGCCCCGTCCCCCCTTCACTGACGCGACCTGCCGAGACCCCCGCCACAGCAGGCCCCTCTTCTCTTGCTCCAGGGTGGCTGGCTGCTCCCCAGCCCATCCCGGCTTGTTCCCCGGAGTCCCGGTGGCAGCGGGTGGCATCGTGTGGCCCTCCCCTCCATCAGGCCGCCCCTCTCTGGAAGGGAGGGCTCGCACGGCAGGACACCCAGGGTTGGGCTGCGCTGCGGAAGAGTTGTCACGGGGTGGAGTTGTCATGCGTCACCTCACCTCACGCTTCCTCACGGATCTTTTCCGTTCGGGCGACTTGCCCAGACTTTGGAGAGCCACTGGGCCCAGACCCGTCGGAGGCTGGCTGCTCACCGTGCGCAGCCACCGGGAGCCTCCAGGGGAGGTCCCGTCCCACCTTCATCCAGCCCCGTCCATGGCATTTGACAGTGGGCCTGGGCGCCACGGCTTTCCCTCCGGTCTTTCCAGCTCCCGCTTCTTTCCTTCTCACGTAAAAGCCAGAAAGCGGGGAAGGCCTGCAATTGTGCGTGATGATTCCTGCTTGGCGGTGCCAGAGATCCGCCATCTGGACGTGCCCAAGGCCAGCGTGCCCGGAACTCATTTTCCACAGCACCTCAGGGCAACGCCACCCTGGCATGCCAATTCAAGAGGAAGAGGCGTGTGGCATGACTCTGTAACAGGGCAAAGAAATCCTATGCCCCCCAGAAAGCCTCTGGAGGGCCATAGGATCTTTTGGAGTCCCAGCTCCAGGTCAGAAAATAGCCCCAACCTCGGAGATGGGGCTCCCCATTTAGACTGCCGTTGTCGCCCACAGGAATGGGAAGAGCCATGCTGGCCGCTTCTCCGAGGCTCTCAGAGCAACTTTGGAGGGAGGGGAGGGTGTCCCAGGCTGCAGGGAGGGAGGAAGCCAGAATCACCAGGACACCTGCAACCTGGGGGCAGGCCAGCCCCCCTGCGATCCCGTCTGAGGCTGAGCAGCGAGGTGGTGCACCAGGGATGTGGCTGGCCCATGGGGTGGGTGAAGTGCAGAGCCAGAGGCCCCCGCCACTCCTCTCGCTCGGCCCAGGATGCCGGGGATCCACCTGCAGGTGTCTCCATGGGGGGGCCGGGGTCCTGCCCAGCAGCCTTGCATTCTAGCCGCCTTCCCGAGCGAACTCCTCCCAGGTGCCTTGGACTGCAGCTCCCAGAAGCCAGCAACTCCTGGCGTGGCTGGCGGGGGACGTAAGGAGCCGCACGCCGCCGATCCGCACGGCCAGACCGGGTCGTCCTGCCTTGGCACACGCGTGGCTCTGACCGGTTGACGCTCCGGGCAGAAGGTGCCCCGGGCAGCGCGCAACAGAGAGGCGGCGCCTGGGCCGGCGCATGTGAGTCGTGCGTCCGGCGAGGGCAGGCTCCTAGACCCATCTCCTCCTCCCCATGCAGGGCGACAGTGGCGGCCCCCTCATGTGCCGGGAATCGCGGTCCGAGCGCTTCTGGGTGGTGGGCGCCACCAGCTGGGGGTCCGGCTGCGCCAACGCCCGGAAGCCCGGGATCTACACCTCCACCCAGCACTTCCTTGACTGGATCAAGGGGGTCACCAAGGAGGACTTCCTCAAGCCCCCTGCCCCACTCAGACACCCGAAGCCGACGCCAAAGCAGAAGCCGACCTGGAGGCCGTGGAAGCCGCCGGGGACCCAGCAGGCGGGGGGCTGGGCCAACGCGTGGCACAACCCTACGAGGCCCGCCTCCACCCATGCGTCCACCTGGCGCACGTACCGGACGAAAGCCCCGCACCTGCTGGGATGGCCGCAGACCCAGCCCAGGCCCACGGTGGCCCCCGTGCTGACCACCCAGGCCCCCTGGCCACAGCCGACCCAGGCCCCCTGGCCGCAGCCGACCCAGGCCCCCTGGCCGCAGCCGACCCAGGCCCCCCCGCAGCCGCCCCTGTGGGCCTCCCAGAATGCCTTCCAGCAGGGCTGGGCGGCGCCGGCGCCACAGCCCACGCTCACCCCCCAGCCGTACCAGTACTGGACCCAGTGGCAGCCCGCCGCCTCTGCCCCTGCGACGGCATACCCCGCCCTGACCTATAGCAGGAAGTGGAAGTTCGGGCTGACCAGACCCACCCAGCGAACGTGGGCCACGTACCCAGTGGCGACGCAGCCCGTGTGGCAGACGCAGAAGTGGGGCTGGGCCAAGCCCACAGCCCACAGCGACTACTACTGGCTCCCGAAGTGGACCAAGCGCCGGCACTAGCCCGAGCGGCGCCGGTCCTCCCGGGGAAGCCCAGCCGAGGCCACGCCCCAAATGTGCCAGCTGTGCCCCCCAGCACAGCCCTGGACTCCACCCCCCACCCCCCGAACCCCCACCCGATCCCGGGCAGGAGCCTGCCCAGAGTAGAATGGATGCAGACCTCTTCATCTATGGCGAGAGGGAGGGAGGGAGCTCCTTCGGCAGACAGGAAGATGCTGGGGGGCCGTGGTGGGCTCCCAGTCCCCAGGTGGGCCTCCCTCTGCTCCGGCAGACCTCCCTGGCTGAGGCCACAGGCGCCAGAGCTCCCGGCAGGCCGGCCCAGCACAGCCCTCGCTCGAGCATCCCAGCACTTCCGCGGGAAGGCCCCCGGCTCCTCCAACCAGCAGCTGCGCTCCTTCGGCATCTCCCTGTAACGCACGCGAGCAATAAATTGGTGCCTCTCGCTCGGCTCGTCCTGCCACTCCATGATGCAGAGCACGCCCGACACCGGGCTGGTCCGGGGCGTGTGCTTCACCGGGTGGCTCGCAGCCATTGCAGTCCACCAAAGCGGAAAGGGGGGGCATGAAGAGGAAAGGCGGATGGAGGAATGCAAGCACAACACACGCTCACGGCCCTTGGCCACCTGCCTCGGCGTGGCTCGGGGCTTTGCAGCTGGGGGAGCGCTGACAGTGCTGCGTGGGGTCTAGAAGTGGCCTGGAGGCCAGCGGAGGTGGCTGCACAGGGACGCTACTTCACTGGAAACAGAAACAGAACGGGTCAGAAGGGGTGTCCTGGGTCATCTAGTCTGACCCCCGGCTCCAGCCAGCTCTGCTCACGACATGCCCACCATGTGCACGTCCAGCCTATCCTTGAACACCCACACCGATGGGGCCTCAACCACCTCCCATGGAAGCCCATTCCCCACCCTCGGGGTCCCAACTGTCAGGAAGTGCTTCCTGGCATCCAAATGGAACCTTGGCTCCCTGAGCTTGGCTCCATTGGAGCACATCCTGCCTTCCTCTGCGGGGGAGGACAGGCCTCCACCCACCTCCGTGTGACACCCCCTCACACACCTGTATGTCGCCAACAGATCCCCTCTGAGTCTTCTCCAGGCTGCAGAGACCAAGTTCCCTCAGTCTCGACTCACACAGCTTCTCCTGCAAACCGGCCACCAACCTTGTGGCTCTGCGCTGCACTGATTCTAACCTGGCTATATCCTTCCTGTAACGAGGGGCCCAAAACTGAACACAATACTCCAGTTGCGGGCGCACCAGAGTCGCGCAGAGTGGCAGTAACACCTCTCTGGATCTAGAAACCACACTTCTGGCTCTGCAGCCAAGGGTGGCGTTTGCCCTCTTGGCCACCGCATTGCACAGCTGTCTCATGTTCAGCCTGCAGGCGACCAGCACCCGAGGCCCCGCAGTTCCCACTAGCCCTGCAGTGGTGTGGCATCCCAGCGCGTCTCGAAGGCCGCTCCGCTTTGAAAGCCTTGACTTTGTCCAGCCCGGGCATGAGCCCCGCCCTGGGCCAGCATCCCCTCCGCCAGGCGGGTCCCCGAGGGCCAGTTGGCTGGGCTGGGCTGTTGCCACGCGGCAGTTTGAGAACATCAAACCTCTTGGGCAAGCGAACAGGCCAAGAGGAGCACAGGGTTTGCTGCAAAAGAGCCACGAGGCTTCGGGATGGGGTGCCCCTCAAAAGCCGTGCCGCACAAGCCCATCGGCCTTTCGGCGAGCGAGCACGTGTGTGGCCAGGATCCGGCAGATACTGGGTCTGTGTCTTAAGTATCTATTCATTTATTCACATATTTATGTCCTGCCTCTTTTCCTTCCCAAAGACTGAGGGCAGCTTGCATCTCTCTCCCGCTCCCCGCCATCGTATCCTTGCAACCACAACCCTGTGAGGTAGGCTGGACTGCGAGACAGTGACTGGCCCAAAGCCAGAGTGCTCCGTGTGCTGCTGGGCTGAGTGGGGACCAGAGCCCTGAGGCCAAGCCCTCGTCCCGCACGCCCGAGCATGGCACCACCCCGATTTCCAAAGGTCCCCAGCGAAGGCCTCTCTTCCCCGCTTCCGGGAAAATGCGGCGGTACCTTGGCTCACGAACGCCTTGCATCACGAACAAAAATGTAATGAAGATTTTGACTTGGGTCATGAACCCCTCTTTGGGTGGCGACCAAGATCGCGGCCATCTCCCCACCCCCCCGAGCGGGGAGATGTCCAGGATCGCAGCTGCCTTCGGGGAGGGAAGATCTGCGTGATCGCGGCCGTGGGGCGCCCGTCTGCCCTGCAGGAGCACCCCCACGCCAGGGTTTCTTTGAGAAGCACCCTGCACCGTGACTGTCACGAACAGAGTGTTGAACCTGGTGGACGATAATGCGGTCTCTCGTTTCCGGGGGGTTACGCAGCGCAGGAAAAAAGAAGTGCCCATAGACCGGTTGTTCACCAAAATCGACCCTGCAGCTGAGAGACAGAGAGAGGAAACCCCTGAAAGAGATCCCCCCAGTGTCCTTAGGAAGGGGGCTCTCCCTCAAAGCAATGACCTTCCCCCAGCCTAGGCCGGTGTTCTCCACTGGATGGAACAGCGCTTTGTTGTTCTTTGTCGCTTTGCTTCAAAATTTCTGATAAAAAAGGTGACAGAACGGATTCACCTTATTTACATTGAATCTTACGGGGAATTTGACTGGGCTCGCCACCAGTTTGGGTCACAACCCGAGTCGTGAACAGATTCAGTCCGTGAGCCGAGGCACCGCTGCACGGAGGACCTGGGGAAGCGGGCAGCTCCTGCCGGCAACAGGCAGCAGCAAACCCAGGCTGCTTGCAGTGGGGGAGGCAGGCGGGGGCGCTGCTCTGGCGGGGCGTCTCCCACCCATGCGCGATCGGGGCTGGAGCCGGCGGCAGCGTTTGGGAAGCCATCCGGGCCACGCGGCAGGGAGACGACCGGGGCCCTGCAGAGACCTGGCCCGCGTCCCGCACCACGGACTGCCCTGGCCAGGGCAGGGGGAGCTGCTGGCCTGGCGCCGGGAGGGAGCCGTTCCCGCCCCGGCTCACGAAACGAGGAGGCAGCACCCGTGGGAGGAAGAGGCCCATCGGATGGCGGAAGGCCTGCCAGGAGGCTCCCCCCACGCAGAGTGACCTGAGGCAGGTGCTGCCGCCAGCCAGCTCCTCGCTCGGGAACCCACGGCTCACCGGCAGCCCGTGGCGTGGGCGCAGCTGCCCAGGGAGCTCTTTGTGCCTGTCCCCACGGCCACGCTCCCAGGGAAGTCCGGACGGCACGTGTGGAGCCGACCCACACCAGGAAGCGTTTCTGGCGGTTTGCATCCCCACCGGGAGCCAAGCAAAAGCGTGTGCGTGGCCCACTCGGGACCCAGCATTGGAGTCTGGCGCATTTTGCATGGCAACGGGACGCCGCATCCGGCTTCGAACATCCCGTTCCCTCCAAGCTACCGTGAGGACTGCAGCTAAGCTCAGGGGCCGCAGGGGGGGGGGGCAGGCCCCCTCCCATTACACGCAGGTGCCCCAGACCGCCATGAAGATGCTGCATTAGATGCTCAGCAGGAACACGGGGTCAGGGCCAGCCGAGGAAGAGCGCCGGGTTAAAGTCTGCCTGGGAGGCGGAGCCGGGAATACTCATGGCCAACCGAAACTGCGCCCCCCCCCGGCAGAAACCCTTCAGTCCCTGGATGCCCGCTCGAGTTCCTGTCGGGCACCTGGTCCCAGCCACGAGGACAGCTCTCCCTCCTACTCGACGTTCTCCAGGGAAAGGCAGTCCCTCCACCAGCTGGGGGGGGCATGCCCCGAATGGGCGAGGCTTCGGCTTGCAGGGGGTCACTTGGCCCTCATGTGGGGCTTCTGCACACGCTCCACGGAGGCTTCCCTTTTCATTGTGCGAGGAAGTGCGCGTGTTTTGCTCAGCTCTTTTCCCAGGGCTCTGCAGGAGCCACGCTCCACGGGAGCCGTCGCGCAGCCCCCACAGAGCAGAGGGTGACTCGGGCTCGGCAAGGGGCTTTGGGGGGGTCTTGGCTGCCCTTGCGGCTGAACGCCAAACTTTCCCTTGCAAAACTGGCTGGAAAGCCCAGGAGAGGCTCGGGAGGGAGACAGCCCTTGGGCGGGCGCCACGAGTGCCGTGAGCGAGGGTCCGCGAGCGCGCAGCACGGCTGCCTTTTGCAGGGGCGCCCGCGGGGCCCCGGCCCATGCGCCCAGCGGCAAAGGACTCGGACGCTCGTCATCCACCAGGAGCTGAAATAGTTTTCACTCGCTATGGCCAAAACCGAAATTGGAAAGCACTGCAGGGCCCTGGACGGGCTGTAGGATTTCACAAGCAGCACCAGCGGAAAACCTGCCCGGCACGACTGGAGGGAGGGGGCGCAGGACGGGGGCACCCTTCTTGCTAACACCAGTAAGGGGAGACCTTGCTGACGGTACTGAAGCCATGGCCGTGGCGTTCCTTCTGGTGCCCCGGCACCGCGCGACCCCACCGGAGGGCAGGCAGGGCTTCAGGTGGGAGCCGTGCCCGCCCTACCTGCAGACGGCGGGGACCGTCTGCGGGCGAGGCGGGCTGCCCTTGAGCTGCAGCCCTTCCTGGGCCACGGGACCACCGCGGCCGTCAGGCGCTTGCTGCTGGGTGCGCCGAGCTCGCCTTGCGTGAGAGCCCTGCCGGCTCAGGCCCGTCGGCCACCCAGGCCTTCCTCCTGCCCTCCTGGGGGCCGCGCGGCAGCCCACAGCATCCTCCAGCGGGACGTGAGCACCCCTGCCCCTGCTGCCACGTTGCCCAGCACGCCACGTCTGGCCCTGGAGAGCCACCGGAGGACTCGGGCCACGGGCAGCCTCCCCCTCCGGGGCTTTGCTTCACCCCCCTTCGGAGCCGCCCCGACTGGTGGCTGTCTGCAAGGCAGCCCGTCCTGCAGCTCATGCAGCCCCCTCGCCTGGGGCGCCTCCCTGCTGAAGCCAAGCGTGGCCTCCTCGGCCTTGGGCACGGCCTTGGCCCGTCCTGCGTCCCATGCTGGAGTGGCGCACGGAGAGGCGCCTGA